AGACTTTCGCTTGGAGGAGTGAAATATCACAAGTAAAAGTTTGGAACAGCAGACATTATAAACGGTTTATTACAGATCATACAATCGAATATGCAATCGTCAAATTAAGCTTAAGGGACAACCAAAAACATCTAATGCAGATACATACATAGATATGTTAATTGCCTATATACTAGATGTACTTTTAATTGCTATTTATTAACTGAGAGTTAATAAACTGTAATTGGGAATACTTAATTTATTATTCATATACTATAAACTTTTCTGTATGTTATAATTTTATTAAGATACGTTTTTAATAATATCAGTACATAGCATTTAAAACTGATATATAAGATGCTGTGGCCTTCATAATCTACAAAAATACAAATTAAGAAGTTCAATTTTTCTTAATAAATTATAGACGTCTATTTATAAAGAAAAATATAAACATCTCAAAAAATAATGATAATTAATGATAAGCAAAACAAAATTATTTTTTAATAAGATATTCAAAGCATTTAAAAAAATTACATTTGTAAAAGTTTCGAATGACATATCCATCATTTTCCCTGCCGTGATCGTTAATCGTTTCTGAGATCTCATTATTATAAACATCATAATTCTACCCGTATTTATAGGCATATCATACCACAATGTTTCATATGTTGCATTTGCAATCAATTTGCCCTAAAAAATAAATCAATTTCAAATTTGACATTTTTAAATCTACATATATATTTATTCGACTTATTTGATAAGAAAACATTTTTTTCTGTATCATTGTATAAAAATCTTCTAGACATAACAAACAATTAGTTGATAAATAGAATTACCAAATATATAAATATATTTTTTACAATAAGAAATTGTGTATAAAAACATATTTTGTTATAATCTGACATATATATTATATTATTATATAATATTAATCTGTGTGTGTGTGTGTGTGAGCGCGTGCGCGCGCGCGTACGTGTGTAAAGAATTACAATACATATTTCATAAATAAATGTTTCTGTAAAAATAAAAATTAAAAATATATTTATATTTTATAAATTCTATTATTTTAAATTGAAATGAACCGAATCGTAAAATTACCAAATATCGGATATGCGGACAGTGTATCCGGTCGGATATCCAAGAAGGCAATTTCTTCGAGTCGGATATCTGACATTTTCCAGATATTCGACCGGATTCCGAGAAAATGTCTTCTAAAAACAAAAAGCCTAGAGAAAAAGATTGTAATTTATATAATGCAATAATGTATAAGATATTTTAGCATCATGAATATGCATATAATATTTATTTCTAGAATATTTATATAAGAAAAAATTACACTTTAATAATATCAAATTTCAATCGGATATATTCCCGGATACTAATAATATCCGACTATCCGGTTGGATAGTAAAAAAGTGAATAATACCGGATATCAGATATTTTCCGGTGCATCCCTATTTTAAATAATGTTTTATGTAATGCAACATGTATGTTAAAATACTTTTATTAGAATATCACATATTTCTATCATTAAAACAGCACTATTACATTGTGTGTTAAAAACATTTATATTTACGGTTAACAAATTCTAAATACGCACCTTGAGAGTAAGATGTTCTCCAGCAAAGCAAATGACAAAGGCTTCAGACATTATAACACAATAAGATAAAATTGCTTTCACTAACAGGAAAACAGCAATTTCATTATGGATACACTAATTCGGTAAACAATTAAAGGATTAATATCACACACAATATCAATAACTGCATTGATAACAGAACTTACAATTATGGTAAAAAAACCTAAGCAGCACATAGTTAACGTATTCAAAACAATTTGCATCAACGCAAAAAAGGAAAAGAGTTTTTCAACATCCTCAGAAAATGAAATGATTTTGTTATGCCTCTCAATCAGCATTCCTAATGAAGATCTATGAAGAAGAGTATTCTTAGAAATATCTTTAAATTCTTGACATACTATGTCAATTTGTCCACTTGCATGTAATACCTATAAAAATATATTCAAATTCATATATTAATAATGCGTAAAAAATATCATTACAAAGAATATGTATCAAGTAATACATGGTGTTCTTACATAATATATTATAATAAATTATTATTTTAAAAACATTTTAACTCTAGTATTGTACTTTAAAATTTTTTCATGTGAAAATAGAATTGCTTATATGTAACAAAAGTTAACAAATTATTTAAAGAACATTTAATGTAGTAAAGTTTAGTGTTATAAACTTGCGTTAAAAATCATTTCTATTAAAACATTAATAAAAAAAATGATAACAATAATAAAGTATTTATATAAATATTAATAAAAGTAAAATTACAATCAAATTCATACAAAATATAAATTACCAAAGAAAAGATTAAGCCATTTAAAATAGCAACCGTGCATACGTGTATCATCGCTTGTAGAAATATTGTTACAACGAGAAACTCAAATATCGGTGAGTGTTGAGTTTCAAAGGGAAATTGCAGTCTTAAAGGAAGCTGCTTCATAGTGTCATTATAATTTTCAATTAAAAATACAAAACGAACTGCGTATTCGCCTAAGAGGTAAAGTACACCAACAATCGCAGTGAAGCTCAATAAAGCGTTAGAGATGAAATGCGATATATTTGCTTTGATTGTCATTATATACAAATGCTGTTCAATATTGATGCATTCGCACCAGTCATTATCCATAGTAGCAAGAATTTTATAAAGTATCCTACAATATAATATTTTATTTTGTCAATCGTTCTAAATAAGGATATATTATACTGTCTTTTGAGGTGCCATGCATATTATAGTCATTAATATTTGAGTTATGATTTAGATGATATTATATTATTTTAGATTAAAAAAAATTAGATCAAAACTGTCAAACAATTAAGGAAAAATTCTATTTTTCGAATACAATAATTGAGTATCGAATTGTAGTATTACACTTTATATTAATATTATATTTTACCGACGATTTATCCATAAACTGGACAGCTTAAACAATGTCAAACTGTAATTAAAAGTCATAGGCAGACCATCAATAAGATTTGATAGTTCACTAGCACTTAAATGATCAAATATGTACGAATATTGAAAGTACTGTACAATCAACATGCTTGACATAAAACTTAGCCAATAAATAGTAGAATGTGACACATCTGGCCATATGCCAAGACATTGAAGCGCTATTTTCACCGCCGGACTGACAGTACTCATGATTTTTCGCCTACAGTTTTTGAAACGTAAGAAAATGAAGATCAGTATAAGCACATCTAGTATACTTGTTGAGAACGAACTGAGAGAGCAGTGTACATTTCTTTAAGTTCATCCCCCCACACGATGCATCCCCACTCACAGATGAATATGGATCAATCGCTATTATACGATACACAGTATGACGATAAGACAAGATAGAACCCATTATTTCTATGAACATCCTATAATTTCATTAGCAATGTAATAACGTGTATGCCAATTGTGAACATATTATACTGCTAAAGATAAAAAAATAATCTTCTAAGAGATAGTTTTTGTTTTTTGCTTCTTGTTTCTTAGCAACACAATAATATCAATAAAAAACAAATGTCTACGACCAATCGTGAAAATCATTAAAAGTATTATGACAGTATAATTGTGATTATACAAAATGTATTCTAACAGACAGAAGCGAGTTGTAATCATGTCATTCAATCTCTTTAAAAAAGAAAATGTATGGATAGAATAAAAGAATCTACACGAGTGAGAGTATAATGACTGAATAATTTTTTTTAATTCTAAGAACATAATTATAAACTAATAAAGACTTGCTTGGAGGGACAATATCAAGACTAAAAGTTTTGAACAGCAGATATAATAAATAGTTAATTACAGATGCAAACAACGAAATGTGTTTATATAAATCGATGTGCTTATTTATCGAACATGGTCCTTTGAATATAATTAAGAAGCAATGCCTGAAAGAATATCTAACGCAGATACACACAATTTTAAATAAGAATATAACAATAAGAATACACGAGAAACAGAAAATTAATTCCGGTTACATTAATTGCCTGTATATTAAACAGGAAGGGCCACTTATTTACGAAATCAGCGAGAAAATAAGTTAACGAGGCAATTAAGCATTTATCAAAATCAAGAAACCAAATAAAAAAACGTTGTCGTACACTCGATCGCGCATCCCAAATTTTTTTCAAAGAAACAAATGAAATCACTTTGGAATCATGTTCAGATAGCATGAATACAAGAAATCAGAAATTATTTTCATTAGTGAGTAACTCCTCAGTATTAAATACAACTTTAGTTTGTGTAATTCATTAACTAACAGTTAGCAAATGGTAATTAATTTTATTAATAATAATAAAATTCTTGTCTATTTTGTAACTTATTTATGCCATATTTCCGTTATTAACGCACGTTCTCGTTAATATCAATATATATATTCAAAACTGATATATAACTAACATTGCTAACGCCTTCATAATCTACAAATTAAAATAAAAATACAAATTAAGAAATTAAATTTGATTAATAAGTATATGTATATGTATAAAGAAAAATATCTTAGAAAATCTCAAAATAAATAATAAGCAAAATAAAACTGTTTTTTTTTTTATTAGAACGTCAACTTATCATTTAATCAATTTATATCAATTTATCCACTTGCTTGTAACATCTAAATTACATTATAATAATAAAGTTATTTTAAAATGTTTTTTGCACTGTCATATTTTAACATATTATATTTTAATATTTTTTTTATACAAAAATGGAATAGCATATATAACAAAAGTCAACCATTATTTAAACAGAAAATTTGATACATGTATATAACAATGAACTTTTTAATAATGAGTAATTTAATTAAGTGATCTATTTTTATTTATTATATAAAAATGTATTTATTATGTACACAAATGGTTTGTTAAATCATAATTTCTATTTTCAATTTTGCATTTTCCAGCGAATATAATCGATTATAGCAAAAAAATTTAACTATCTAATAATTTTGATAATTTTTATTGTTTTATAAATACTTTTACAAATGATCATTCAACTAATAAAGTTAATTACTCGCACAAGATTTGAATTTCAATACATTACGTGCAACACCGACATGTATGACGCTGAAGCTTTCATGACCTGAAAAAATATATTATTATGCAAAAGCAATAAATAGCATAAACAGATGTTCTCCAGAATCTGAATATTATGAATAATTAATTAAACATTAAATTTATTTTTTAGACTCCAATTCAAGAATAAATCACAAAAATTATTACCAATAAATAACAGTACGTTTTGTACACACGATCATTGTATACATACATACTATTGTATGTATATAAACAACGATACAATTTTAATATTATTATATCTAATTGTAACACTCATAGTTATTTGATTTTGAGCCAATACATTTCTACATTTGTAATGTCATCTCTTCTACTCTTAAAACCGATTAGAATCTTACACTTGTAAAACCTTCCAAAGTCAGGTCCATGATTTTTCCAGCGGTAATCGTCAATCGTTTTTGAGATCTGACAATTATCAATAACAAGATTCGACATTCGCTAGTAGATAGATCGTACCAAAGTGTCTCGTATGCCGCATCGCTGATGGACTTGCTCTGAGAAAGAAGAAAGATTTTTTTTTAAAACATTGTGCAGTAGTACGAACTGAATGCGTGTGCAAGGAACATATATTGCAGCTATAAAGCCTTGTCGTTAAAATTAAATCGTAAAATGGAAAACTATAGTTATTTTTTTTTTAAATATAATGTATATGGCATTAGAAAAAAAGTACTCATATCTAAAAGCCGTTAAAAATAAAAGGATCATGCTAACCTTAGTACTTAGGTATTCGCCAGCAAAACAGAAAACAAAAGCTTCTAATGTAACAGCGATATAAGGCACAATGGATTGTATTAATAATCCTGATTTTCCCTCCACATCTGTACTTAGAGACTGTGTAATTGTGTGTTAGATTATGTTAATTGGGAGTAAGTCGTAATATCACATTCGTGTTTTCAATTGAACTGATATTATGATTTATATGCAACGCTCTAAGAATATAATCCCAATGTCAAAGAAATAAGATAACGTATTATTCTGAGAGAAATGGAATTATTATAAAAATATTTCACAAAGTTCAAAAGGCATTTGCAATGATTTAAGTTTCCTCTCTCTAGAATTGCTTTCGACAAATTAAATATTATAAATTTTATTTATCTCTTTCGACATTTTAAACAGTAAAATAAACATATAAAGGAACAGTATTATGTTTAACAAAGATTGGCACGCAGCGTAGTTTCGAGACAATTTTTTTTCTGGGGACATTGCATTTTCTCATTGCAGATAAAACATTTTTACTCACTATCATGATCATGATTCCTATGGAACAGATAACTATGGTGTTCCATACGAATTGTATTAGTGCAACAAACGAAAAAAAATTGTCGATATTCTTCGATAAGGATATAATCCTCTGATGCATCTCGATGAGCGATCTCATAGCTGACGGATGAGATTTTTGCGTAGTGGAAATTTCTCTCAATCCTTGACACATGATATCGATCTGGCCGCTTACGTGAAGTACCTCGAAACAAGAACTAAAAGTTCGAGACACGTTTGCGATGATTTAAAAGATGCGCTATTTAATTTGATCAAAAAGAGTTCGTGCGATAACCCATTACTTCATTGACTAACCTAATGGTTTTAACTAATGGCTTTAAAAGTTCTCATTCCTTGACTTACCAATGTTAAGATTAAGGAATTCAACAATGCAATTACGATTGCCGTTTCCCACACATGAAGAAATAATCCCAGAACAATAAACTCAAAGATCGGCGAATCGGTGGCATGGAACGGAAATTGTATCTGAATCGGAAATTCCCGGAAGTCCGTGGAACTTGTGCGGTGACTCACGTAATTGCCGGCGAAATAAAAAATAACAGACAAACTGTTAAGGGTTAACATGACGTTGGAACATCGATGCGCCAGATTGGCCTTATTCATCATCATGCACGTATGCGTGGAACAATTATTCCAGTCATCGTTCATCGCACCCAAAATATCAGAGAATATTCTACAACCAATTATTTAATAATGTCTAAAAATCATGACCGATAGTCGCGAATCTTACCGACGATTATGCCAAAGGCTTAATAGCTTCAGAAACGTCAGAGTGTAATCCAAAGTGATGCTCAAACCATCCATTAACTTAGAGAAATCGTTTGTGCCCAATTGTGCGAAAAAGTATGAATACTGAAAGTATTGCATGACGATGAGAGTGGCCATGTAAAAGAACCAAAAAAATGTTCTACACGAAAAACCAGGCCACATGCCGATCAAACAAAGGCCGAGTTTCAGCAAAGGGCTTACAGTACTTGTTAACATAGCGGTCCGTAGATTCACATTGAAATGTCGATCGAACCGTTCGTCTTGTTCTAGTGAAATGGATCTCGATTGTCAGGGGAGGAGCGTTAGCACAAGAAAAATATGGGAAAAAGGTCTTTAAACTCTTATGCATTCTCCATCCCCTCGCACACAGTTAGCAATTTCACAGAGAGCTAAACTACCCCGTAGAAGAAATACAGGTAGTGAGTATCGATCAATTGCAATTATATATCTTGTGATGTGACGACACAGCCATGAAATAATAAACTAAATTACAATGACAGGCGATTACAGGTTTTTTCTCGCAATCAGAAAAAGATACACGTAGAAAATGTCATTGGCGACTCCGCTGGATGAATTGAAAACAATAGTATAAAAAAGTAATAGATAATTTTTTTAAACCGCAATTATAACTTTCTGGTATAAATAAAAAAGTATGGCTATAAGAAAAAAAATCACACATTATGAACAGATCTAAAAATTAAATTTGAAAAACAACCGATTGATAAATGACATACAGTATAATAATCAGTCGCATTAGTAGGAATATTAATTTGTTGAATATTAGCCTGTAATTTGAAGAAAAAAAATTTCTACGCAGAAAGATCAGATAATGAAAACGGAAATTATAACTTTTAATCTAAAGTCTATAAGCAAAATAAATTGTAATATAGTGATTAAGAACACTTATCATACTGTTTAAATACTACATTATTATTGAATCATTTTTACTCTCTTTAAAAAAAATTTGCAACAATTTATGCTTGATAAAGAATAACTGAAAGCAAACGTTGACATTCAAAACACATTACATGTTTTCAATAGAATCTTTTGCGGCAGAATGTATCGCAAAATATGTAAACTCTCTATCTTATAAATTAAATCCTAAAAAGATTAACATAAAAATTCTACTAAATTTACTTAAATAAGATTAAACAATAATTATTAAAAATAAAAGAAAATCTATATGTTTATAATAATTATTTTTCTCTATTAATCTTTCTACAAATATACATACATCATTAATTTATTCGATGATTTGACGATATATATTCATGTAATCAACATAAATTAATTCAACTTTCAATACATCGCATATAAAACTGAAATATATGAAGCTGAAGCTTTCATAACCTAAAAAAATATCACGCAAAAAGGAATATTAACAGGAATGATTATTTGAAGTCCAAAGATAATCAATATGATCCACATATTAAATTTTTTCAAACATATTAAGTATTATTGTATGATATTGGCACTTATCGGCAATAATAACCACAATAACAAATAATTAAGAAAAATATTAACATATTATTATAAATAATAACTTATCATTAGAAAAAATCCGATATGAAAGCAAAAAACTTACATTAGTAAAACCTTCCAATGTCAGGTTCATGACTTTTCCAGCAGTGATTGTCAATTGTTTTTGAGATCGGAGAATCACAAATAATAAAATTCGACATTCGCTAGTAGATAATTCGTACCAAACTGTCTCATACGCTGCATCGCCAATAGCCTTGCTCTGAAAAATAATAAAAAATTATTTGATGTGTATATGGAACTATAGTACACGATACATAGGAACAAAGTTTAGATAAATGCAATTATATATAATATACAAGCCGGTATTTTCACAATCCTCTTATTTTTAAGATACTATTACGGCTCTGTGATTGATTTACATGACATTTTAAAATTGTGTTTAAAACGGTCTTAGATATAAAAACGGATTACTGGTTATAATGTCATTTGTTAGTCATTTTATAATTAAATTATCAAGATTATAAAGTTTTTAGGCAATCAATACTAGAAATTAAATGCTTATAACGATCGATTCGAACTGCGCACCGAATTGATTTTTCAGACTTATAAACGCAATTAAACTACTGTAATAATATCACGAATTAAATTAAATTGACAAGTAATTTTTAATAATTTGATACTCAATCAGGCATCATATTAGAAAGATGTTAATGTATTGAAAAACTGTAAATATATTTATTGCGAAAAATATTATCTCGGCCGGGAGTCAAACCCAGACAAAGCTGCATGCTTACCTTAGTACTCAAATACTCGCCGGCGAAACAAAAAACAAAAGCTTCTATTGTCACTGCAAAATATGGAATAATAAATTGTACCAATATCTCGAATTTACTCGTCATGTTCATACCTAAAGACTGAAATGTTAAATAATGTTTGCAGATAGTAAAATAATATTAGAATTGGATAAATATCTGCATAAAAATATATTTTTTAAGTTATTATTTAATTATTATTATTATTACCAAATAAATATAATAATATTACATTTGTCTTAAAATTGCATTGTAAATTAAATATTGAAACTCTGACTTATCTCTTTCTTAGATACTATAAAATAAGTATTTTTAAATATAATTAACACGATTTTAATTAGGCATATTTTAAGAATGTACTTCTTTTTTTAGGTAATCTTGGATGACGGATAGTTTTTATTCTACAATAGCTGCAGCAGCTTACTCACTATCACGACCATGAATCCTATGGCGCAAATAACAAAAGTATTCCATACGAATTGCAGTAAAGCAACAAATGAAAAAAAGCTTTCAATATTTTTCGACAACGATATGATCTTCTGGTGTCTTACGACTAGCGATTTAGTGGATACCGAGCTAGATTTGATCATGGAAGGAATCGCTTTTAACTCTTGACACATGATATCGATTTGTCCGCTTACGTGAAGTACCTCGAATAAAAAGGATTTCAGGCAAGATATAACAAATCCAATAAAAACTTTAATTTAAAAAAACTTGAACTAGAGTACATTTTAAATGGCATTATATTAATCTTATCGGATATAAATTCAACTAAAGAATTTTAAATTAAATTTCCAACTATTTTTTTAACTTACCAACGTTAAAATTAAAGCATTTAATATTGCTATTATGATCGCTGTTTTTAACACATGGAAAAACAATCCCACACCGACGAGTTCGTAAACGGGCGTTTTATAAACCTCGAACGGAAATTGTACCTGTATCGGAAATCTGCGAAACTGTCCGTTTTTAGAACGTGTATATCCACGTACGTGGCTCTCGATAAAATATAGAAAAGTGGCAAGAGCGTTAACGGATATCATGGCATTAGAACAACGGTGCGCCAAATTAGCCTTGTTCATCATCACGCATTCACGCAAATTAGTTCTGTTATCCTTCCAATCGTCATCCATTGCGATCAAAATATCCGCGAATATCCTACGACCGATCACCGATCAGTGTCTTTTAAATCGTTTAGAAACGATCACTGACCGAGCGCTAGTCTTACCTACGATTAAACCAGAAGCTGATCAACTTCAATATTGTCAGGGTGTAATCCAAAGTGAGACCCAATCCGTCCATCAGCTTGGTCAGATTGTTGAAATCGAAATGCTCGTAGACGTAAGAATACTGAAAGTACTGCATCACAACGAGAGTTGTCATATAAAAGAACCAACAAAGCGTCCCGTATGAGGCACCAGGCCATATACCGATCAAACTAAGACCCATCTTCAACAACGGGCTGACGGTACTTCTTAACATAATAGTATATAACGTCACATTGAACCATCACTCCGGAAAACCACACGCGTCGTCTCCTTCCAACGAGCTGAATAATGACTGTACGAGAAGTGATATCGCGAAGAAAACACGACAATCGACTCCCTCGATCTAGCTCCGCGGTGTATTCCCCTCCATAATGTCACAAGGGAGGTAGAGCAATTTTATAGGGTGAAACTACTATGTTTATGCGAGCAACGATCAACCGTAATTACGCATTTTGCAGTATAAATTGAGCGATAAAGCGCTAAATTGCGATAATAAATCAACAATCATGTGATGAACGTTATAGTGTACAAAAAAAAAAGAACAATCATTTACGTAGATACACGTGTATCTTTACGCAAATAACCGTTTTTAAAAATGCAAACTCATGTGTTCACCGTCGTTGATAATTTTTCTACAAAAAGCGTTGAAAAAAGACCGTATGTTCCTAATAGATCTAATATTTTAATATTTCCAAGGTATAAGAATTATGCAATATACAACACATTGTGTAATTCACCAAATGGTAGAATATTTACATACATCTACGAAGAGAATATATACATCTACAAGGAGAAAAGGAGATATCGCAGATAAAAAGATTAAACGTAGACTGTACAGAAAAGAGACATAATAAGGAGATATATTTTTTATATTATATGCAAATTAACTCCTTATATATAATATTATTTAAATATATATATACATATATATGTTCATACAATCATCGCGTCTGTAACAAGTGTCTGTTGAAAAAGTTCATAACAGGTTATTTATCACTAGCGCGGAGCGTTTATTAAAACTGTGAACTAATGATATTTTTTTTCGATTCAGTACATAGCATGCAATACAGACATGTACGAAGCAGAAGCTTTCATGACCTAAAAATGATTTTATTTAAAAGACACGAAAAATGAAGAGATGCATCTACATTGCCGATATCTTACGCTCATAAATCCTTCTAAAGTCAGATCAAAAATTTTCCCTGCAGTGATTGTCAATCGTTTTTGAGATCTCACCATTATTAACAACAAAATCCGACTATCGGATGGTATCATGTTGTACCAAAGTGACTCATATATTGCGTCGCTAATCGATTTACTCTGAAAAGCGTGATCTGAATTCAAAATACGTGAATATAAATGTTTAGATTGTTCGAAAATATTTATTATGTAGTTGTCAATAAATTGATAACAAATTATTTACACTGTAAATGTGTTTCTATTTTTTAATTTAATTAATTTATTATTATTTATAGTTTTAGAACAAATAAGAAAAATGCATAATCACATATTCTACTAGTAAGAAACATTTCTTTACTCACCTTGGAACTTAAGAATTCCCCTGCGTAGCAGAATACAAAAACTTCTAATGTTTTTACGGTATAAAGAAACATCGACTTTATTAAAACCATTATGCCTTTGTTACTACTGAGAGTCTGCGAAAGAAAGCAAATTATCGATCAGAAGATCGAAGCAATTGACATTTCTTACAAGTATGATCATGAAACCGCAGAAGCAGATGATTAAAGTATTCCATAGAAGTTGCAGCAACGCAATGAACGAAAATAGAGTTTCAATATCATTCGACAAAGTAATAATCTTTCGATGTCTATGAATGAGATCACGAAGTACAGTTAAAGATGTATCAAGTTTGTCGTTGCTGTGTACGTCCATTATGGCTTGCCGCATGATGTCAACCTGACCACCTACATGAAGTATCTGTAAATATAAAACAATGACATTACCTAAACTAATAAAAAAATTGGTTCACATTCAGAAATGATAATTGTATTTGTACATTAACATATGAATATTATAAGCCAAGCTCGCTTTGATCGAAAATGGTTTTCTTCTTATTTCTAATAAAAAATTGTTTATCGACAGTTACAGAATATTTTGGTATTTAAAATTGCAAAGAGGAATTTTAAAGTTTGAAATAAATAGTTGTGTACTTACCAATGTAGCAAGTAACGCATTTATCATACCAACCACAGGGGCTATCAACATTAGAAAAAAAATTTGTCCAAAAAGGATGCATTCAAAAACCGGTGATTCTGAGACCACAAAAGAGAATTGCATTTTGACTGGGAATTCTCGTGTGGAAGCTTCGCTGTCAGTATTTATCGTGCGAAACATGTAAGCACCGATGGATAAGGAAAAGCCAGTTAGAAAGTGAAGGCCAATTAGCACGACAGAATAACGACTTGACTGATTCGCGATTGCCATCATAGTGGAATAAGAATTGCTGACAACGCGATCATTCCAGTCTCTTTTCACTGCTGCCACGATATTATAGAATGTCCTGTAGATAGCGCATTATCTTATCGAATAACTGCACACGTTAATCAATATCACAAAAAAAAACTTCAAATGCTAAGAACGTTTAAATATGTAACTCTATAGAAAATATTTATATTAAATGTTAATTTCATTAATTATATGCTAAAATTGTACGCAGTTATATGCCTTCAAAAATTCCTGGACAACAAATGTCGTTCAAAATTCAAGTAAAAGTTATATTAAAATACTTTATTACATTAATATATTATAAGATAAAAAAGCCATTTTCATTTTTTCTCTCATTCTCTCCCCCCTCCCTCTCTCTCTCTCTCTCTCTCTCTCTCTCTCTTTCTCTCTCTCAACACTTATAATAATCTTCGATGTTATTTCTGTCGAATCAGATGTTAAAACGGAGAGTCTTACCTCCGGTTCCATCGCAAAAAAAATAATTTAAGAAAGGCGGATGTATTCGCCAAGGCGAGACCCAGACAATCCGTTAAAATTGAAAGATTGCTTGTGTCAAAATGCGTAACAATGTACGAATATTGAAAATATTGATATAACCCTAGCATTGTCATATACATAGACCAATAGAGATTCGGATAAGCCGAATCCGGCCACATGCCGATTAAACGAAGACCAAACTCGACCAAACGACTAATAGTGCTTGTACGTTTCATCGCTTTTTCAGAAGTATTAAATGGTAAAAGCATACAGTCACGTCATGCGTAAAAATAGTACACACAGACGTTGTATGTTCACGTGATAACGGCAGAAGTATAATACTGAATAACCATAACAAAGACGATGAAATGCAAGCAGCAACGATCAATTGTAATTGCACCTCATCACATTAATTCCTGGAAGCTTAAGAGTATTAAAAGCGAAAAACGATGACGATGCCCGTTCTGAAGTTCCCCCTTCTGAGGTAGCGAACAATTTAATAGTTGCATGATAGCACATAATTATTTAAAAAATAAATTTCTAGCTTCTAAATGTCGATTTCAGCTGTATCCAATAAAAAAGATTATAAAAACATCAATGTTTGTAGAACATAAATGCAAGAAAAAAGAGGAAAACAGAGAACTTATTGTAGTAAAATATCTGATATCTGAGAAGCGATTAATGTTGCTATTATTTTTTGCTTTATTTATGTACTTACTAACATTTTGTTCCATTTCGCAGAACGCTTTCTTTTACAGCCAGAAGTGTTGAACAGTCAGAACAATGGTGATAGAGAAGTTAAAGAAAAGCGAGTGCCAGTATGCAATGTAAAAAGCAGCAATTGTAAACGACGCAAATTATAATATTTAGTTATAAATATATAACATTTATACAATACAATATATAGCATTTGCAATACAAAAAAAAAGGAAATAACAAAAATTAGATAATAGAAACAAAACTTTGTTTTTAAACAAAAATTTCCTAAAGATGTATATATGAAAGAAAATTTTATTATAGTGTTGTTAAAATGTATGTTTGTATGCAACTTCTTTTTTAAATACCTAATAACTTTTTTTAACTAAAAAATAAATTTTAAATAAAAAATTTATGTAATAAAAGTAAACCATCAATAAGACATAATTATTCGATATATTTATTAAGAATAATTTATACTCAAATGTCTCAAAATTTGCAAGCACATGCAATAAACAGTGATGACTCAGTATTGATAAAATTATTTGGGTTGAGAAATCGTTAAAAATTTCTCTGATTCTAATCGCATTTAATGTCAATTCGACGTCAAATTGATGCATTGATTCGATGTCGATTCCATTATCACTGGGAATAAGATAAGAATAGAATTATCAAAAATTAAAAAACCAATCAACATTACTTATAATTAAAATCACCAATGCCACACATTATCAACATATTCTACAGAATTTGTATCAGTGCAATATACAGATTCTCTACATTTTTCAACAAAGTAATAAATTTTTGAATCCTGGTAACAAGTAGAAATGTGCTGAGATTGTGTTATTTTTAAATTTTAACTAAGTCTTATTGCATAATCTGACCGCTCACATAAAATATCTACACAAATATCTATATACAGTAATATTTAATTATTTAAAATAATACTTTATCTTAATATTAATTCAAACTGGTTGTATTGTATTTATGTTAATTATTTTTAATGGATTATTGATAAGTAAACATTCAAATAACCATTGAAATTTTACAATTTCTTCGAATAACATACTACATTATTATAAAAAAAAATGTTTATGAAATTTCAATAAATATTTGTTTAAATAATACGAATGGGACTTACAGAAAATAAATATTTATTCGATTTTTTATACCTACTTAAAGAATTTTTTTCAGTGTATATTTGTCAACGCAACAAATAATGGATTTATCAAACTAATTAAATTTAAAAAGCTATCAGCATCTCATAAAAAAGTTGTCTAATTACAAAACATTCAAAAATCAATGTTCATTGACTGAATCAAATGCTCGTTAATTGACAAAAAAAAACAACGAAGGCATATATACTGAACGTTATATTAGAAAACGGCTCAATAGATACCATCACGCTCATCATTGTAGACTTTCATATGAATCATTCATAATAATGAAATTATATAATATTAAAGTATAATATTGGCACTAGATATATTCTGCTTTTATCATTTTCATAAAAGAACGCATCTTACTGACAATTCCAAAACAAAGAGCTTAAGAAAGGTAAGACCCCAGAGTAAGACGAAGACTGTCTATGGGCCAAAAATTATTCAAATCAAAATATGCAAGTATGTATGCATATTGGTAATATTGCACTATTGCACTGTTGTCATACAGATGAATCAATAAAGATTCAGATAAGTCGGTCACATACAAATAAAACAAAAATTAATCTTGATTGAGTGACTAAAAGTCGGCGTTTTCTTAAAAATAATGTATAAACCGTCACAATACGCATAAAAAGTACGTTGCATCGTATGCATGATGATGGCAAAGTATTGTATAATGAATAATAACTATAACATAGACGATGAAGCGCAGATCGTAATGATCAATTGTAATTGTACTCATCGCATTAATTCTTGAAAGTTCACAGGTATTAAAAACATAAAACAATGATGATGTTTTTTTTCTTCTGAGAACGGTTCAGAAGTTGTATAATAATATAAATTGCTTTAAAAATGAATTTCTAGCTAAGCTAAAAAAAGTTTTGATTTTAGATATATCCAACAGAAAAAGAATTAAAAGAAGAAATGAAAACGTTAATCTTTGCGAAATTTTTAAATGTAAGAAGAAAGAGAAAAATAGAGAATTTTATAGTAGAATATATACGACGTATAATAAAATATCTGGCATATCTGCGAGAAGCGATTTTACTGTCTTTTTGAGCTTTTTACTTATATATTAATTCATATTTTGTTCCGCTTACAGATTTTTTTATAGCCAAAAGTGATTTCGATAATGACGATAAAGAAACAAGAAAAGAAAGATGAAATTGCCATTATACAATGTAAAAAATAAGTAATTGTCAAAGATATAAATTGTATTTGATAACAAATATATTTTAATATGAAGCATTTTAATATAAAGAAAAGGAGAAACAGATATTGGGAATTAAAATAACATTTTATTTTAATAAAACTAAAATTAACTATAAAGATATATTTAATAATTATAAAAAACAAATGTTACGTATATTATTGTTAAGATACATATTCACATGTTTTTTCTTTTCCAAATACGTAATGTTTTTATAACAATAAATAAGAAATCATTTCAATTAATTGTCATTAATAAAGAACAATTTTAGGAAATCGTAAAAAATTATTAGTAAAATGATTTTATACGACTGCTAATTTGTGCAACCTTATTCAATCAACAATAATGATGACTAACTATTAATGAAACTATTCAGACTGAGATGTTCTAATTGTCTAACATCTTTCTGATTTTAATACATTGCATTTAATACTGATATATAGGAGACAGAAGCCTTTACTATCTAAAAAAAAATTATTCACAATTTATAAAATTATGTAAAGAATTATATTAAATAAAAATTTCATTTACAACATAATGTCTTACACTTGTGAATCCTTCTAAAGTCAAATCCATAAATCTTCCTGCAGTGATTGTCAATCGCTTTTGACATCTTAATATCATAAACAGTATAATGCGACTGTCGCTTGGCGGCATATTATACCAAAGTGCTTCGTACGCTGAGTTGCTAATCGACTTGCTCTGGAAATAGGATGAAACTTAAAATATTCAAAGTAACGCTTAAAATGTTTACGACGTTCCAAGTATTAATAAACTTAAAAATACTTTTTGATTACTATATTCAAATACGTTTTAAAAAAATAGTTTTAAAACAAATTATATAATATATAGTCAAATAATGTTTGATGCAACATAAATAAAAAATTAATAATGTATGTCTAAAATACTAAAAAAAATAATAAAAATATTTTTACATACTTTGGCACTTAAAAATTCTCCTGCAAAGCAATATACAAAAACCTCTAGCATTATCGCGAAATAATAGCTCACTGATTTGATCAAATTTGTTGTATCTTCGCCGCTACTAACGACCTGCAATAAAATATGAAAAGAACGTCATTACCTAATATGAAACGTGAAAAAATAATGAATATTACTCACAATTATAATCACAAAACCAGTGCAACACATAACCAACGTATTCCACAGAACTTGCATTAGCGCAATATAGGTATACAAATTTTCAATACTTTCTGATAAAGTAATAATCTTTTGATGCTTGCCGATGAGACTTTTGATAACAGGTAGAAATGTACTGCTATCGTATTTTTTGTTAGAAATTTCAAATAAGTCTTGTTGCATAATATCGATCTGACCACTCACATGAAGTATCTATAAATATTATATAGATAAATCTATACGAGTTAATAATCCATATAATAAATAATCCATATAAGTTATATAAAGTAATATCTAATTATCCAAAATAATACATAGTTTCAATATTCATATTAATTTGAACAGATCGCATCGGACTGTTAACAGACATATCATACAAATATTTTAATTTACAAATCGCATAATATACTTACCAATGCAACAAGTAATGCGTTTATCAAATTAACTACAGAAGCTATCACCAAATCATAAAGAAACTGTCCAATTAAAAAACATTCGAAAATCGGAGATTTGCTGACATCGAAAGGAAATTCCATTTTTATAGGAAGTTCTCGAGAACTATTGCCAAATTGATCGTCCATCGACTGAAGCAAATGCTCGCCAATTGATAAAAAGAAAGCAGAGAAGGCATAAATACTGAACGATACATTAGCAAAACGGCGCGACAGATCTGCCATGCTCACCATTGTGGATTTGTACGAATCATTAATAACACACTCACTCCAATCTTCATCTATCGCCTTCAAAATATAATAAAATATCCTGCAGAACATATTCCTTCATGCATAATATAATCATAAAAAATTATTTATATGATTTAATTCAAAATATATTTTTCATCCACATATTCGACGTGTCAAAATTATACAATGTCAATATAATTTTATTAGATATAGACACATTCTGTATCATTTTAACAAAACACATCTTACCGACGATTCCACCATAAAACGAGAAGCTTGAGAAAGGCGAGGCTGTATCCTAGAGTAAGACTAAGACAGTCCATAAGAAGCCAAAGATCATTCAAGTCAAAGTGTACAAATATATACGTATATTGGTAATATTGCACTATGGCTACTGTTGTCATGTAGCTAAACCAATAAAAATTCGGATAAGCCGAATCCGGCCACATGCCGATGAAACGGAGGCCGATCTCAACTGAAAAGCTAATAGTATTTGCACGCTTCATTGTTCTTTGTTAACCGACGTACATTAAATAGTCAACAAACGAGGACATTAGTGCGTAAAAAACTTGCATATTGTCCAATGTGTTTCACGTAATGACTAAACCGTTAAATAATCGCAGTTGAAAGACCGTAAAGCGCAAGGAACTCTGAACGTGAATCAATTGTAATTATATTTCAAGCGTTCTCATTGCATTATGTAATGCAAGCTTATAGCTGTACCGATTGGAAAAAAATATGATAATGTCCTTCTTCTGAATTAGTGAACACTTTAGTATAGTGTACAATAACGGGTAATTACTTTGAAACTGCGTTTCTGTCTCGAGGGATAGTTTTATGTCCATCTATATCCATCAAAAAAAAATGCGCAAAGTCTTGACATCTACCACAAAAGATGAAAAACAACAGTTTATTGTAGCTATTAAATATGATCATAGTACCGGTCTCACTAATTCTGTTTTTTCCCTCATGTATTCCGCTTCTAGTAAAAACGAAAACCTCTAAAGTTATGATATTGGAGAAAATGACAAACTTTGTCGGCATATTCTTCTGTATTAAAAGTCTCGAGAAAAGGCTATGATGTAAAAATGTAAGTTATTTCGATTATATTAACTGCACCGCTTTCATTACTGATTTTCAAAAAAATATTGAATCTCCATAAGAAAAAAAGGATTGATATCAAAGTTTTTTGGTAAATTTTCTTACAATACCGATAACAAGTTAGAAGACACAATTATTATGTTCAATTTATTAAAGGACTAAAAGAGAGCAATAGCAAATAATTCTGTTTATAAATGCAAAACAAAAAACGTTATAATACACAAATACATGTATGTCACAGATATGCGCAAAAAGTTTTATATTTCCGATAAAAGAAATTAGATATACGGAAGATAATTACAAAAATAAAATATAAAATAGAGTACATACATATATGTAAATATATTATTTTAATAATTATTATGTATTTATATTGATAGAAAAAGAAGCATATATGAATCGAGAAATTAGTGAGTACTAAGTGAGCTGAAATTTGAAAAAAAAATTGTAAACGTACAATACTATAAACAAGGATAAAGTTTTGATGTTATTATAAAGTGCATTATCGTACACTTTCGTTTTTAAACTTCAAATATTTAGTAATAATACATTAAAAGTTAAAACAAAAAATTGAGACAAAAGTATTAACATTTTACACAAATGTTTAAAGTAGATTATATAGTTACTATAGAAAAATAATTATTCACTGAATTCATAAAAGATAATTCATATTGAAGTAATATATCTTAGTCTTATATCTTCTCTTGTAACTTATTTAATGTTGTTTGGCCAAGAATAACAATTATCTAATGAAATTATTGCAGCTAAGGCAACATTGAATATACATACATAGCAACCAACAGAAATCATTCTGAACTTAAAACATCACATTTAATATAGATATATAAGCATAAAAAGCACACTTAATCATCGTATGCTTTGCGTGATGATGCCAAAGTATAATTTCGATTAATAACCGTAGCATAGGCGATGAAGCACAGATCATAACGATCAATTGTAATTGCATTCATCGCATTAATTCTTGAAAGATCATTGATAGTGAAAGCAAAAATAGTGATGATGTTCTTTTTTTTTCTGAAATAGAATAATTCAGAAGTTGTATGATGTATACAATTGTTTTGAAAATAAATTCTAACTTGGCTAAAAAAAGTTTCAATTATATCCAACAGAAAAAGAAGAAAAACGTTAATCTTTACAAAACTTTTAAATGCAATGAGAAAGAAAAAAATAGACCATTTATTATACTAAAATATCTGATATATCTAAGAAGCGACTGATTTACTATCATTTTTTACCTTTTACTTAAATATTATTTCATGTTTTGTTCCGCTTACGTGTTTTTCTATAATCAAAAATAATTTTGATAAAGATAATTTAGAAACAAAACAAGAAAGATGAAATTGCCAACATGCGATGCAAAAACATAAGTAATCGTTGAAGACAAATTGTATTTAATTATAAATATACAACACTTTAATATAAAAAAAAAGAGAAACAGATATTGGGTAATTAAAATAAAATCTTATGTTTATCAAGTACAAATTATCTAAAGATATATTTAACAATAATAGAAAACAAATGTTACGTATATTATTGTTAAAATACATATTCGCCTTTTCTTCTCCAAATACGTAACTTTTTATTCAAATAAAAAGTCCCTTCGTATTCAATGAATTGTCATAAATAAAGAATAATTTTATGAAATCGTAAAAAATAATTTTACTATAATGACTTTATATGACTGGTTAATTTGGACAATCTCATTCAATCACTAATAATGACGATTAACTACTATATGGCGGAAAGTTGTCGACAAAGTCTTCTAAAACGACATCCCTTTCTTTCTCAGAAACAAACTATTGCACTTTATTAATACTAATAAAAACATGATCTGTTTAGTTAATTAAAAAAGTGTAAACGCGTAATTCGTATATTCGTGGCTTGTTTCTATACGAAATCAGTTAAAAATGAATTCTATGGATGCGAAAATAAAATTCTTGCAATTTTCTTTTGTAAATTGCATAATTTAAATAATAGTGACTATGTTATTAATAATATTACGTTGTTTTAAATTCTTGTAATTTCTCAAATTAATTTTATTTCTATTATTTTCTTTCTTAATTTTTTTATAGTGCAGTTTAAAATATAAAATCAAAGTGCAGCGTAAACCGGCATATACATTTCTGTAAAAAAAAACATGAGCTAACTTAATTTTTATAATGTTATTATACTTTATAGTGTCAAATAACTCTATCGGAATTAAAATCAATAGTACATATATGGGAAAGTCCTTGAAAAATTATCGCGTTACATATTTGCATCTTGCAGAACAGCATAAAGTAAATACGCATACAATTCAAAAAAATGTTTTATATCAAAATAAAAAAGATTTTGGAAAATCTTATATAAAATATATACATTTGTATATATTTTATAATAAAGAGATAATTTCTGTAAAAACAAAAATAATATGAATGTATGGCATAAACTGTATTATTGCCCACTGTGTCAGTTTTGGAGTCAATTTTATCAAATGCTTATTTTTGCTTATCTTACGAAAAAATTAAATATTGCAAAATTACAAAACATTATACAAACTGCTTATATTATCTGATAGAAAACACTTTTTAATTTGTATTTGAGTGTTTAAAGTTTTATTTTTACCTTTTGTTTAAGAAATATTTTTTAAAAACAAAGTGGTATATCGACCTTCCTCTAATGAAACTATTTAGACTGAGATGTTCTAATTGTCTAACACTTTATGATTTTAGTACATCGCATTTAATACTGATACATAAGAGACAGAAGCCTTTACAATCTAAAAAAAGAGTATTCACAATTGATAAAATTATATAAGAAATTATATTAAATAAAAATTTCAATTACAGCATAATATCTTACACTTGTGAATCCTTCTAAAGTCAAATCTATAAATCTTCCTGCAGTGATTGTCAATCGCTTTTGGCATCTTAATATCATAAACAATATAATGCGACTATCGCTTGGCGGCATATTGTACCAAAGTGCCTCATACACTGCGTTACTAATCGACTTGCTCTGGAAACAAATGAAATCTAAAATGTTTAAAGTAATGCTTAAAATATTTAAAATGTTCCGAATAATAATAATAAAAATAGTTTTAAAATGTAATAGTCAATTACACGTCAAACATCATTTGACGCAACATAAATAAAAAAATTTATAATATATATCTAAAATATTTAAAAAATAGTAAAAATATTTTTACACACTTTGGCACTTAAAAATTCTCCTGCAAAGCAATATACAAAAACCTCTAGTATTATTGTAATGTAATAGCTCACTGATTTAATCAAATTTGTTGTATCTTCGCCGCTACGAACGATCTACAATAAAAGAATGTCAAGAATCTATCTAAAACGTGAAAAAATGATCAACATTGCTCACAATTATAATTACAAAACCAGTGCAACACATAACCAATGTATTCCACAGAATTTGCATCAGTGCAATGTAGGTATACAAATTTTCAATACTTTCTGATAAAATAATAATTCTTTGATGATTGCAAATAAAACTTTTGATAACGGGTAGAAACGTATTGCGATCGTATTTTTTGTTAGAAATTTCAAATAAATCTTGTTGCATAATGTCGATCTGACCACTCACATGAAGTATCTATAAATATTATATAAATAAATCTATAAGAGTTACCGAATAAATGACCCATATAAATTACATAAAATAATATCTAATTGTCCAAAGTAATACATAGTCTCAATATTAATTTGAACTGGTCGCATCGGACCGATAACAGACTTATCATACAAATATTTTAATTTCTCCAAATCTCATTGTATACTTACCAATGCAACAAGTAATGCATTTATTAAATTAACTACACAAGCTATTACTAAATCATAAAGAAATTGTCCAATTAAAAAACATTCGAAAATCGGTGATCTGCTAACGTCGAAAGGAAATTTCATTTTTATAGGAAGTTCTCGAGAACTATTGCCGAACTGATCGTCCATCGACTGAAGCAAATGCTCGCCAATTGATAGAGAAAAAGCAGAGAAGGCATAAATACTGAACGATACATTTGCAAAACGGCGCGACAGATCTGCCATGCTCATCATCGTGGATTTATACGAATCATTAATAACACACTCACTCCAATCTTCATCTATCGCCTTCAAAATATAATAAAATATCCTGCAGGACATATTCCTTCATGTGTAATGTAATCACAAAAATTATTCATACATGATTTTATTCAAGGTGCAATAATATATTTTCACCCACATATTTGCCTTATTAAGATTATGTCAACATAATTATATTAGTATTAGATATAGATACATTCTACATCATTTTTACAAAAAAAAAACACATTTTACCGACGATTCCACCATAGAACAAGTAGCTTGAGAAAGGCGAGGCTGTATGCTAGAGTAAGACTAAGACAGTCCATGAGAAGCCAAAGATCGTTCAAGTCAAAATGTACAAATATATACGTATATTGGTAATATTGCATTATGGCTATTGTTGTCATATAGCTAAACCAATAAAGATTCGGATAAGCCGAATCCGGCCACATGCCGATGAAACGGAGGCCGATCTCAACTGACAGGCTAATAGTATTTGCACGCTTCATTGCTCTTTGATAACCGACGTACACTAAATAGTCAACAAACGAGAACATAAGTGCGTAAAAAACACTTGCATATGTCCAATGTGCTTCATGTAATGATTAAACCGTTAAATAATCGCAGTTGAAAGACCGTAAAGCGCAAGGAACTCTGAACGTGAATCAATTGTAATTATATTTCAAACGTTCTCATTGCATTATGTAACGCAAGCTTATAGCTGTACCGATTGGAAAAAAATATGATAATGTTCACTTCTTCTAAATTAGTGAACATTTTAGTATAGTGTACAATAACGGGTAATTACTTTGAAACTGCATTTCTATCTCGAGGGACAGTTTTATGTCCATCTATATCCATAAAAAAAAAATGCGCAAAGTCTTGATGTTTACCGAACACAAAAGATGAAAAACAACAATTTATTATAGCTATTAAATGTGATCATAGTACCGATCTCACTAATTCTTTTCCCCTCATGTATTTCGCTTTTAGTAAAAACGAAGACCTCTAAAATTACGGCAGTGAAGAAAATAACAAACTTTGTCGGTGTATTCTTCTGTATTAAAAGTCTCGAGAAAAGGCTATGATGTAAAAATGTAAGTTATTTCGATTATATTAACTGCACCGCTTTCATTAGTGATTTTCAAAAAAATATTGAATCTCCATAAGAAAAAAAGGATTGATATCAAAGTTTTTTAGTAAATTTTCTTACAATACCTATAACAAGTTAGAAGACAATTATTATGTCCAATTTGTTAAAGGACTAAAAGAGAGTCATAGCAAATAATTTTGTTTATAAATGCAAAACAAAAAACGTTATAATACACAAATATATGTATGCCACAGATATGCGCAAAAAGTTTTATATTTCCGATAAGAGAAATTAGATGTACGGAAGATAATTACAAAAGTAAAATATAATCGTACATACATATATATTGTTTTAATAATTATTATATATTTATATTAATAAAAAAAAGTAATATATTTAAATCGTGAAATCAATCTGTACATAATTTGGAAAAAAAATTTATAAACATACAATATTATAAACGTGAATAAACTTTTGGTGGTGTTATAAAGTGCATTATCGTACACCTTCTTTTTTTAAATCTGAAATATTTAGTAACAATATATTAAAAGTTAAAACAAAAAATTGATATAAAGGAATTAACATTTCATAGACATGTTTAAAATAGATTATATAGTTACCATAGAAAAATAATTCATTGAATTCATAACAAATAACTTATACTGAAGTAATCTTACGTCTTCTCTTGTAATTTATATAATGTTGTTTGACCAAAAATAACAATTGCCTGATAAAATTATTGCAACTGAGGCAACATTGAATATACATACATAGCAATTGACAGACGTCATTCTGTACTTAATACACTGCATTTAATATAGATACATAAGAAGCTGATGCCTTCATAATCTAAAAAGTTGTATAAAAATAAATTAGAAATGAATAATACAGCATGTCAAAGAACGTAACATCTTACATTCGTAAATCCTTCCAAAGTTAAATCTACTACTTTTCCGGCTGTAATCGTCAATCGTTTTTGCGATCTTAATATCATAAATGATAAAATACGGCTATTTGTCGGTGGCATATTATACCAAAGTGACTCATACACCGCATCGCTAATTGACCTACTCTACAAATAGGATAAATGCAATTTGAATATTGAAATATTGAGATACAATAGACAAATAATCAACAACTTTTATAACGTTTTCCGTCGATCAAAATACATATCTTTTATTAACCATATTTATTAATAAAAATGAACTTTTTAATTTAATAAAAAAAAATAAAAAATTTTTTATATATTCTTTACAAACCTTGGCGCTCAAAAATTCTCCGGCAAAGCAGAGAATAAAAACTTCTAGAGTGATTGCAATATAAAAACTCACAGATTTGATTGAAGTTGTTGCACTAGCGTTGGTACCAATGGTCTGCAATAAAACAACGAAGAAATATTCTTCATTGAAAGCGCAGAATAACATTCACAACCATTACTCACGATTATAATCACAAAACCAGTACAGCAGATGACCAAAGTATTCCACAAAAGTTGCATTAATGCAATATAAGTATATAAGTTTTCGATATTTTCTGACAAAGTAATAATCTTTTGATGTTTGCAAATAAGAGCTTTAATAACAATTAAGGATAAACTGGGATCGTATTTGCTGTTAGAAATTTCGTTTATGTCTTGTTGCATAATGTCAATTTGTCCGCTTACATGAAGTATCTATAAATTGGAATAATTAAAACGTCAAATCACATGCAGGATACTATTATAATTGTAAGTAATAAAAATAGATAAAGAATAAATACGTATATTAATTATTGTAAGACGTACATAAAAATAGTTTCGAAAAGGAATCGCAAACTCACCAATGAAACAAGTAACGCATTCATCATACCAACTATAGAAGCCAACACTAATTCGTAAAGGAATTGCCCGATTAAAAAGCATTCGAAAATAGGAGATTCACTGACATCGAAAGGGAACTCCATCTTTATAGGAAGTTCCCGAGAATTATTGTCAACTCCATTGACGTCGCCCATCGATTGAAGCAAGTGCTCGCCAATTGAAAGGAAAAAGGCAGCTAAGGCGTTGATACTAATCATCACGTTTGTGCAGCGATGCGATAGATCCGCTACGCTCATCATCGTGCACTCATACGAATTATTGATAACGCACTCTT